TATATAGTTTGCACACTAGGCCAAAACCTCCAAATATAAGAAATGACACATATATTTAGTATATCAGGTGTTTTTTTTCTTTCCAATAAATCATCTCATAATTTTCTGATAATAATGTAATAATAATGAAATATAATAATTAATTTTGCCAACCTGTTCTGAATGTGTCAAACTYATCTAAAAACAGTTTTTATTTTGTTCCTTTGAAATTGGATTTTTCATAGGGCTTCTAATAAATCTTTTTTAAGTGCAGTATTATTGCATTTATTGTTTTTATATTAAACTTAAAAAGTAGCAATGTTCCTGTCTTAGAATGTTGCACATTTAGGATTTAAACGATGTAACTATCACTTTTTAAGGAATGTATATTTCTTGCTGCCTCACATCTCAAAGTTTGAAAAAAAAAATCATCACATGAGCACTTGGAACATGAGCTGCAGATGACTCAACTACTACCTCACCAAATTTTAGAATAGTATCAGTAAGACTGACAAGGTAAAGCCAACTTTAAGTATGCTGACACTAATTTGCTGTGAACAGCAAACTTTATTCAGTTGTGCATCTGCATCGATTATTTTCTGAAAATTAAATAAAATCCCACCACTAGTTTCTGAAATATTTTTGCTAAAACAACAGGTAAAACAGCACATGTACACACCACTGAAAGCTTTACTGCCTGCTTTTTGGCAGCGGATGGTAAAAAAAAAAAAAAAATTCTCTTATCGAAATACTCATCAGTTTATTGTGTGACAGATCTGAAGTTTCTCTTTGCTCTGTTGGTTGAGTTTTATTGCCATCTAGTGTTTAACTCTGTTGACCAGCAGAGCAAACCACAGCTTTGGCTGGGGAAAAAAAATCAACTTAGTCTCATTTTCATGCAAAATTCAGTTTTAGGGTTATTTGGGAGTTGTTTTAGATAATTACATAATTGTTGTACTAATATTTGAAGCAGGCAGGCCACCTGACTGATCCAATAGTAATGTTTTAACATAAAAAAACAACAAATAAAAGACTTTAGGGTGAAAATATGGTAGCTTCACATAATACTGTCCAGTAATTACAGGGTTTATACCCCTTATTAATGAGGTACCTACAGAACACAAACTGTAAGTGGAGTAGTTGTAAAGTGAGTTGTTACTCTGTGCCGAAAATTACATACTTGATTTTTCAGGAAACGAGTATACCCACCTGCCACTTATCAGGGATTTATATGATACTTACCAAATATGCACCTGGTATGTATCCAGTACCAACTTGTTACTGATCAAGCACATATTCTGTATTTATGTACTGGTACTTTTTAAAGTCTCATGATGTACTTGTTCTTTTACAGAGTAGTGCTTATCAGGTACTTGAAATTTATTGTGTACTTACCTGGTACTTATTGAGTATGTACCTGCATACAGAGTAATTATTGGGTAATTGGGACTTACCAGGTACACAACTGGTAGTTATCTGGAACACAGGTACTTAATGGGAACATACTTGGTACTTACTGGGTACATACCTTGTATTCATCAAGTGCATACTATTGTGTACAGGTTACCTATCTGGTACTTATCAGGTACACACATTGTAATTAGCAGGTATGTACTTGGCACTTACTGGATATGTACTTGGTACATTCCTGACACCTATCTATTGTTTATCAAGTATGAATTTGATACTTGCTGGGTGTGTACCTGGTAAATACATACCAGATCAGTACCAAGTATGTACCTCATAAGTAACAGGTATGTACTGGGCTGCATGCATGAAAAAATTTAGATTTAAAGTTGTGAGTTTTACACAAAAAAAGTATTTAGAGTTGGATATTTGCTTAGCAGTGAGTTTATGAAGCAGTCTAACTGGGAGGTACACGCTTTCTATATTCTGAAAAATATCAAAGCGCTACATTCCCTTCAAAAGCTTTTTTTGAGAGCAGCATCAACCTTTTCCATTTCCTCTCAGACTGAACTGGAGAGACAAACAGTTGTGTGGTTAAATGAAATAATGAAGTCAATCAGACTGGAACACAAGCAAGTATCAAGTGGAGTCCTGGAAACATTTTAAAAAGCTAATTTAATGAACCACCACCACTCTGACCATCAAACCACAAAACAACATTTCTGCAAACACTCCATATGTCTTCCTCCCTCTGTTTCGGAGAACTTGAGTGAACCGAACGCCTCATGAAATATGTGTTAAAGTATATGGACATCATCTGTTTTACATCTGTAATTGGCTCATGATTATCCCACCATGGGAGCAATAAAGACCCATTGTTGAGAACTCAACTGTAATGATTTAATTGAACAACAGATTTTACTAAGTGGATGAGGTGGGGTCATGTTGGGATAGACCCCAGGAGTGTGAGGTCTGAGGCAGGCCTTTTGGGTTTAAGTCTGTAAACAAGAAAAGTGTCTTATGGTTCGGTATTGTGCAAATCCACATTWATGCACGCACAACTCATTAGACTGACTGTAAATGTAGCTTTTAACTGAAAAAGATAGCCATCGGTTAATTAAAAGAGACCTAACTGAGCAGTTACGAGAGGTTATGTGTAGTTCATAGCATTTGATGTAAATGGTTTAACAGTTTGGCTATACATAAAACAATTTTTTTTCTTTTTCTTTTTTTTCTTTTCAGAATTCTTCTGCTTTATTGCAGTTCCAAGCTGGGATTCATAAACCAGTCTCTTCCACAAAATAGAGAAGAGGCTGAAATTCTAGGAACGGCGCTGTGAAACGAGAAAAACCCTTCAATGTTGCCTTTGTTAGCTGCTTTCAATTAAACGCGCCATGTGTTTTCTCCTGATCTGACAACAAGCCTCAATTACACAAGCATCCAGAGATCTCGTTCAATCAAGCTGCGGGCTCGTCGAGAGTGAAATGGCTGGAAAGGGGTGACACATTTTCACGGTTATCTTTCACAAAACATAACCTACTGCCCTCGTCTTTGTTATTGTGCATCATTAAACGCTGAAAAAAAAAAGTGTATTTAACATCAACTGTAGGAGTCAATACTTTTATCAAGATGACTTATAAACAACTTAATGGATTCTGTTGAAGCTCTAAGAAAGTAGTCACAGATTTACTTTTGGCATCAACTCCATTCAGTTTGGTCACCACAGATGAGAAAACCTATGAAACACAAACATGCCTACAACTCAGTCAGTGTCACAAATATTGAACTAAAGATTGGTATGGTAGTCAGAGCCGGCTCTTGGCATAGGCGAACTAGGCGGTCGCCTAGAGTGCCATCTGCTGGAGGGGGCGCCGAACTGCAAAAGAAAAAAAA